CCCTTTGCCTCCTAGTTCTTTCCTCTATTTCCTTTTACTTTCCTCTTGTCCCACTATCATGCTCAGCCACCATTTGGGCTTCAGTAATTCCTCATTGCCCTTGATTAAGTCCTACCAGGCCTCTCACACCCTCCTCGACACTGATTTTGGATCATTTGTTGTTCCCTTGTCCCTGGGTTTGTTAACACCACTTCCTCCCTGCTTGCCCTCCCAACCCCACCTCTCCCATTCCCTCCCCGCCCGCCCCCAGCCTAACCATTGGTCCCGTTGTTTTCTCCTCCAGATTGTTTATCCCACCTATCTAGAGACCTGCAGAGATAATAATATGCACAAAAATAAGATAGAGCAAAACAAAGCAACAAAAGAAAAGAAAGCAAAACAACAACAAAAAATAATGACAAAAAAGAGAAAAGCCTATAAATAGTTCAAGGACTGTTTGTTGACCTTTAGGAGTGTTTTCTGGTCCAGTCTGATAGGGAGCCACGCCCTGCCCCAAAGTCCATGTTTTGTATTCCCCAGGCACTTCCTTGCTCACTCCTGCTGCTGGTCTGTTGCATGCCTTTAGTGTTTGCCTCGGTGTGGTGGGGTCAGATCGGGCTCAATTCACACTGTCTCCAAAGTTGTCCCCTGCAGAGCTATGGGTCAGTGAGGGAGTGCAAGTAATTTTTTTTTTTTAGTGCAAGTAGTTTTATGAGCAGCTGATAAAGGCACCTTCTCCTCTATGGGTGAGGTGGTGGTGGGAGTACAGCACGTGTCCCATGGGGTAGGGTAGCACACTTTGTAGGCCAAGTAGTGGGACTGAGAACCACTGTAATGTTTTCTTTAGGGACAGGGATCTGGGATCTTAAATAAGCACAGTTCATCTGCCTTTATTACCTAAACACACAATCAGGCAAAGTAAAACAAAGCAGCAGTTATTTAATTTAAGAATAAACCCCCCCAAAACACCAAAAATAATCCCATTGGGATTGAGTCAATACTGAGTCACAAGGACCCTATAGTACAGGGTAGCACTGCCCCTATGTGTTTCAAAGGCTATATACAATCTTACAGGAAGTTGAAACAGAAAACCAGTCACTAATTTTTACTACCCTCTGAAGGACACAAGGCCAGAGAACTCAACGAAGAGTCATTGTAGGAGGGAGATTCTGGGAAGATGGTGGCATAAACAAAGCGCCGACCCAAACCTTCCCCACAAATACAGTAAGAGACACACCAAGGAAACAGTGCTCAGCTGTCAGGGACTCTGAGTCAGGAATCCCAGGAGAGAAGGGGGAATTACAAACAGGTAATTACCATATATACTCAAGGATCACCCGACCTGAATCTAAGCCGAGGCACCTAATTTTACCACAAAAACTGGGGAAACACATGTAGTAACACAGTGCGTACACAATGTAGCGTGTATGTTATTTATGAGCCCTAACACAGGCTGCTCTATGCAAGCATAGTCACTAATGGGTCCAGATAGCGGTTAATATGAAAATAAAAAATAAAATATAGCAGACTAAGTACTGTAAATAAACGTACTGTATATCCAAGACCAGAGGTGTACCGGTACTTGTATTCAGCATGCTTGGGCGGAGCAAGGGGGCGTGACCAAACACGGGTAAGACTGTAAGGGCTACGTCATGGTCGCAGCCCTGGAGAAGAGCGGGAGAA